AAAAATGATATTTATGGTTGTAACGGCCGTTTGTGTGTACGCCCTCCCCCACTTCGAACACCGCCCTAACATCACCCACCCCAAACCACTGACAGGCCCATCCGAAAACATATAGACACGGTTTGAGAACAGTGGATCTAACCTGGAGAATTTATTAAGTACAAGATGAGGATTTTAATGAGTACCATTGATATGTGTCGAAATAATCACAGAATTTAATAACGAAATAGTTATAAGATATATTATGTTTTAATAATGATTGAGTTAGTAATTTTTAATGTTTATATAGGGCTTTGCGAAACAGTGATGATGGTTTGATGATGATAATTCCTATCTTTTCTTGAAGCACTTATTATATAATCATTGAATTTCAATTGCCAATTCATTACGCAACCTTATTTGTTAAGTAGCAGTTAGAAACTTATTTGTTTAACAATTTTATTTTGTATTCAACTTAATTACAAAGGAGTAAAATCAGATTTATAATCAGAAAGTAAAAATCAAATCTTTAGGAGTGACCATTGTTGAGTAAAATACCAAATTTCTTAACAAAAAATATTTTTTTTTAATTTCTTTTCCTTCTAGCTCTTTAAAAAATATTACTTGAAATGATTTTCAAATATTAATTTTTTTAGATTTTTCCGCCTGAAGTTTAATGTTTTAGCCCACTGTCTCCGGGGGTTGCCTCGGCGCACAAATGAAATCTCGCAGGCATAACGAGCTCATGACTCTTTGCTGGCAAGGGTTGGGCAGGAAAAAAGGAACAGGAACCGGAGCAGGAGCCAGGACTTTCACACACACAAGGGCACTGACATAGGCAAATATATAGTGGCTGAACTGGGCACATACACATAGAAAAATATGGCACGTACTCCCGAGAGCCATAAGTTTACGTTTTATATCGGGCAAACTGTGCAATATTATAAATTTTGAATTTTATCTTGGGCATTAGATTGCCAGAGAGTTGCCTGGTTGGCTGCGAACCTCTCTGCCTTTGCTGCCGATATATTCCCAGACTTTGTGTGAGTTGGGTTAGATGGCCGACCGCCCCTTTTCTGTTGTTGGGGATTAAACGAAAGGACGTGCTCGAGGGCGAAAGTAGGAGCTCCTGGCGGATTGGGGGGCAGGTGGGTAATGGATGGTAACAAAGGGTGATTATCGCGATTGGCGAAATAGTTGAGCTTGGGCGGGGAATATTAATGCCAGAGGTATCTGGAACTTTGTGCGTTGTCGTAACTTCTTCAAACTTACTGTTCTCCCTGCGTTCTTTCTTTTGATATTTTCCAGGACCAAGGACATCCATATATAGCGTGGTATAAAGACACGTCTTATGTGACAAGTGCTGGGCTAAACGTCTGAGGCTATCGCAATCATTTTCGATTCTCTGGGCCCATCCCCGGCCCAAAAAGAAAACCATCCGGACAGCAGCAACCACCGAACAGGACGACCGGAAGTGAGGAAAACGCTTGTAAAATCGGGAACACACGAGTGCGAGCGAGACACGAGCGAATGGGCCGAAAGGAAACGACAATTACGAGGACATGCCGGCTTGCTTTTCTGCTTTTCCTGTCTGCTCCTTTCAGTTGCGGCCGTGCAATCGTCGGGTCAACAACGTCGCGAGTCCGATTTGGATCTACGAAATATATTAAACATATCACACTCTTGATTTGGTATCATCTTTATCTGCATCTGGACCTGCAGCGACGCATCCTTTTCAGCACTTTGGGATTATGGTGATTCTGTGCGACCTCGTAAACGTATACTGAATGTATCCTGAGTGTATCCTATCCGGTATACCTTCAGTATACGTAACACGAGGAAGCACGAGCAACGCGGGATGTGATACACTTTTTTTTCTTTAAAACACTTGTGATTTAGTTTGTTCACTGATGTACACTTATAGTCATAAAAATACACACTTTGTTAAAAACGAGAATTAAATAAATGTCTGTTTAAAAATTATGTAACACTCGAATTACGATTTTTACTGAATGGCTGGGAAAGCTTCTTGGCACGCAACCTGTTGCTTTTGTTTTTGGGACCAGATGGATGAACAGCTGATTTAAACTTCACCGAGCATTATCAATAAGGCAACAACGTTAATGGATTACAAAAGACAAGTTTCAAATAATGGATTTAAAAATAAAATAATTGTAGAGCGCAGTTATTATTTTAAGTTGAGAAAAAGATATATCTTAAGCAGAATGCATTGTATTTGACAACATAACAATCGCAAAATTTAAATAAACTCAGTTCATTTTATGGGTCATAAAGAAATTTTTCGTCATAAAATCGCTTTTAATATACACATTAAAAATCTGTATTTGGGATCATCATGTATTTTTCAACACACAATAAATAATTTAAGGCGTGCTATAAATTTGGGTTGCACTCTGACAATTTAATCTTTTAAAATGTTTAAAATATAATAATTTATTTTTACGAGTAGTACATATTCCAGGAATCAACAAGATTTTTGTTATGGTTATATTAAAAAAACTGTGAAAACTCTAAGGTACGTTGAGTAATTTAAAGTCAACATATACTATGTTCTTTTTATTTTAAATGTTTTCAAGCCGATGTACGATGAGTTAAATAATGCCTAACACAAATAACTAAATGTATCTTTTAGAACGCATACATATTTTTTTCAGGAACAAATAAAATACTGTAAATGAAAATTAAATATATATATTAAGAAAACCAATAAATGAAAATGAAAGTATTCCTACAATTGTTTTATTTTATTAGCGACACTGACGGACAGTTGTTGAATTCAGGAAGACGCCCTCTGTTGCGTAACTCCTGAACTAGTTTATTTTAGTGCGCACAATCGATTTCAAAGGGAATCCGGGGTTGAAACCGACTTTCTTATAAGAAAAGAATTGCAAGTAATTATATATTTTGGCACAAACAGAGATGAGTGCTTCCAAATTGATGTATCTTTTGTTGAAAATAATTGCGCAAATCGATTGCCTAAAATAAACAAGGAAGAGCATGTGGTGGTCTATGACTCAATTCAAAGCATAAGTAGATTTTCAATATTTATTTCTGACCTTACATTTCTCTCCTCTATTTTATACCCTTACTGAGGGTAGTTAAATTTGTTAACATTTTGGAAGACACGAATGTAGGTTTCCCTTAAATATTTTGAAATTTATTGATCGTTTTCCGAATTTTCAAGCAATTTAAATAACATTGTAAGCCATTTTTTGGAACTCCCGCGTTTATGAACGGTGCTTAATCTCCTAGCTTAGAAAATCCTCAGAGTAAAATTAAAAAAAATAAGGTATTTTTGTCTCTATTCGATATATAATATTATTTTTAGATTTGTGGGAACGCCTTTCTATATATTTGAAACAATTCCTAGAGTATACTACAATCGTGAGTTTTCTATACTGCATCTCCCAGTTGCCGGTGTCTAAGCCGTTGAACCTCAGCTGGCTGGCTACTAGCGCTCAAGTCGAGCATACAAAGTATCTCGGAGATACCTCACCATGCTGATAAAGAGGGGAGAGAAAGGAGGAAAGGAAGAGGAAGAGGGGACAGCCGCAGCGAAGGAGATAACGAAACCAAAAACGAAACTCGCTCGACAACAACAAGCAAATGAATTTATGAGCATGCCCAGCTCTCGTTCTCTTCTTCTCTCCCTCTCTGGGTTTTCTTGTCCCCCCATCTCCTCTTTCGCTGTCCCGTTGCCATGGCAACAATGGCCGCTGCGAAGGAGCGAGCAAAGCGGAGAGCGAGAACATTTAATTCGGCCATATTTGATTTTGGACATGCTGTCATTGCTCTCGATTTTCGGGGTGGGTTTTCGGTATCTTTCAGTGCGTCTGCTCCGTTCATCTTTGTATCTTTTGAATGGTTCGGTTGTATTTGTATCTGCAGCCGGTTCCGCCGGCAAAATGAGATGGCTTTAACTTTAACCTTTGGCGCAATTTGCCGGCTCATGGCTTTTCCTTGGGCACAATCATGGCATGTTAATCCCTTATTAATTTTACGATCTCGCAACTGGGGAGCTGTGGCCCGGACACGTCTTTAAAAGCAAATAAATCAATTTCATGTCGTCTGAAATGGAACCCACCTATTGTATACATAAATTTCCCAAAATTAATATGCAACGAGAGGCTTATTGGGACTAAATGGCCATCGATTAACTATAAAATTGGCGATTTACGATTGCGACCATAAAATCTTGATTCAAGTTGGAGTAGCGAATGGCAATCGGAATTGGAATCGGGTTGGGTTTGGTTTGGTTCTCTTCTGGCGCTGGGAGCACATTATCTATAAATATCGCTAGTGGAATTTATGGGCAAGTCTAAAGCTGTCGAAAATTGATTTACGACCCATGAGTCGACAGCGCTAACCATGCGATCCCAGCAAAAGTGAGTAAGATATTGGCGGAATGGCTCACCAAATACCAGCCGTCCCATACACCTGTCCTTAAGATGATTGAGGCTCCATTAGCTTTCCAAACAAGTGGACATAAAATATATACATTTGTATTTATAATGCCTTCATAACAGAGCTAAGAAATAATGTACCATATGGGTAAAACAATTCATTAGGGAAGGTGTGAATAAATATATTGCATTCATAAAATTATCGCATAAGTATATGAAGAGCAAGCAGAGAAATTATCATTAATTCTGGTTGTTAGGCTAATGCAGGAACCAAATAAATAATTAAACAATTTTCGTATTCCGCAGAGATTCCCCTTAGCTATTTATTTGTCATTTCCCTTCATAACTCGTAATTAGATGCGAAAATAAAAGCCTTTCTTGGATGGCATTTCAAAGACCTGATCTGGAACCAAGCTATTGCAAAATATAATCATGATTGTGTTGATAACTCCGAGGGGACATTCCACATAGGTTCGCCTCTTTATGACGCCGTCAAATCTTAATGAAAATCAATAAAAACGCTGGCTTGGTTCCCATATTCAGATGGCTAATAAAGCGATTACTTATCGGCTGTTTGTATCAATTGGCATTACTTACGAGTGCCCAGAGTATCCATCTGCAAGTCGCTCGAAGAACTGCAAGGAAGAAAGAAAGAAAGGGGATGGCATTAAAATCTTCGCATGACTGTAAAATTATTCGAACTGAAAATTGTCAATTAATGCACTTATTTCCAGCAAGACTTTGGCTGATAAGGCGCAATGAACCCGAGGGACTGGCATCAATTTCAATAACTCGAAGGCAGAGATTTTTAGGCACTCCCGCCGGGGATGGGGTAATTTATGCATTCTTTGTTCTGTCTACATGCCACTCGTGATATTTCATTTAAAAAACAACAAGGGAAACAGCTCACAGTCATATATAGTATGTATATAAACAAACAAGCTAAACGTGCACTTGGCATGACAGACAACGAAGGAAAAAAATACGAAAAGCGGGGGAAATGGGCTTGGGATTGGGTCTGGGATTCCGATTGCGATTGCGGTTGCGATTGCCGAGTGACCACAGCGTTCCGAATATGTAAATGCAGTCGCCCATAAGACATTCGAAATTGCCATAAATAAGCAGCCCAGTGACAGGCGTCATTTTCGAATTCCTGCGGAGGCGATTCCGATTCCATTCCCGGCGGATAGGATGCGTCATTAGCCCTTAGATTGTATGGTGGCCTGGCCAAGAATAGCCGAAACACTCACGTCATGCTGGAAATCGGGGGTAGAGCATATAGGGGCTTACTTTTTGTTGCTGCGACCTCGAAATCATAATTCAGGATTTTATTGCCTTTTAAGTGCCATTAAGTCAACTCTTTCCTCGCCCGCACGTTTTGTCGAGGCCACTTTCGCTTTTCCTTGAACATTCACTGCTGGCAATTAAACATTCTGTAATTGCAACTCTTTGACGTAGCGGAACGGAACCGAAACGAAGCGATCCCAAGGAACGAAACAGAACCATCCCTGGCGATTTGCGATTTTTTAGATTTTCACTCTATTTGCGGTGCTGCGCCCACACAGATACCAAGATAGGAAGCCAGCAGCAAATTCAAGGCACTGCGGCCATTAAAACTGCTTTATGGTCCCTAAAAACGAACGAAAGCGAGAGTCTCGCCCAAGGAGAAACATGTGTAGGGGTTTGTTTTCCCATTTCCCATCCCATTTTCCTCGCCCGGCCACGCGGCGGAAGGATTAATATTTTTATGGAGCACTTTTCTGGCTGTTTGCTAAATTTTGCAACAAATTGTTTTACAACCCGCGGGCGACTGAACTAGAATCTCTGGAAAGTGATTGAACGAAAATCCTTCATGCAAGGATATTTAAGGCTTAACAAGTCATAAAATTTTTATAATACAGTTTAAATTTACATGGTTTTTTTTTTTAAAGCAAACCATGTAAACATTGTTCTTTAATGTAAGCCAAGATATTTAAAATTGTTTACTTAAAAAAAGGTACTTGCAGTGAAAAGATTCCAAATTTTTTGTTAAACACTTTAAGTAAAATTTTGTGGCGTTTAATATTAGTGGATTTAAAAGAAACTGCTTCTAAAATTTTAAAAATGAAGCTATATGAGAGTGTAAAAATCTAAAGCGAATTGAGGCCAATATTACATTTTTCTCTTCTTTTGTTTTAAATATTTATCAACAACATTTAACAACATTCAACAGTATTAAATATTTGTCTTTTGTGTTTTCCTAATGATTATTAGGCCATTGAAACCCGATATGACAAACATTTGGTAAAGTGTCAAGTCAAATTGAAATTTAAAGACAAAAGGCAGATCTTCTAAAACAATTTGCAGATTATCAGACGAAATATTATCAGTAGACGAATTTCAATGTTAACTTAGCGATTTCTATGCAAAATCTATTTTTAAAAGTGTGAACGGAACGAGCGAAAATAATACCCAGCCGGACAAAAGAATCATCAGCTATCGAATTCTGCGTCTCAAAAGTACGAACCTGACTTCTCTTCTGCTCACCTGTTCGTTCACCTGAGTTTGCGGCCAGGGCTAGGAAACCCAACCGACCGCCTCCCACCGATCGAAACCCCTTCTCTACCACAATTTTGATCCCCTCGGCGACGGGGAACGGCTGCCATTTATGTGCGGTTCGAAAGCGCCTAAAGTAAACATTTAATTGCGCCATTAATTGCGCGGTAAGTGTGCCAGATGCACATACTCGTGCTGAAGGGGGCCTGGGAAGGGGCAGGGCTAAGAAAACAAACAAATTCCTTTTGGTTTGGTTAAGTGCCCAGCGGTGCACTCGAGAAAAAAATATCTCCGCTCCACTCCGTTCCTCTGGAAGACCCCAACCCGCTGACTTTTACGAGCATTGAGTCTTCCATTAAGGCGCTCCGGGCTCGCTTCCCCGCTTTCTCCGGTCCTGATCCTCCATTTTACCCACTCTTTCTCCCAGTCTCCATTTTTCTCGACACTTGAAAAAATATCCATAACGATACTCAAGTCAACATTTAAAATATTTATCGGAACTGAACTCAAACTTAGCTAGAAAGAAAAGTTTCTGAGTGATAATCAACTAATAAAAGCCAGTATTTTTTCCGAGTGTATCTGCGCTTCCACCTTGCATCCCGTGCAACAGTCGCTCGGCAACTTCTGGCGCATTAACTTTGTGTGTTTAATGCGGAAAATTATTGTCAATACAATCGACTTTTTATGATGCTTAAGTTGACAGTTTTTGTGGCTGTTCCTGTTTTTAATATTTACCCTTCTGGCATTTCCTCTGATCACGGTGTTCTCTTGATCGGGTATCCACTGTATTCGCATTTTCTTAATTATGATTCAATTAATGAAGAGTAAATAAACAACGTATCAAGTCCAGGCTGCTACTGGCCAAATTTAAGTAGTGTTTATGGTAAGGCATTATTCGTGGAAATGGTCCTAATTAGGGTTGGCCAACAACAAAATCGACAAATATTATAAAAAGTATTGAGTTGGTTTAAAAAATTCCACAGTTTTGGAATATATGTTCACGAAAAATGTGAAAGAAAAAAATATATTAATGAATTTAAATGACGTATATTCCCAATATTTACACGTTTTACTCTAAGAAAATAAAACATATTTGTATAAACATTTGTTGTTTTATTATTCTAAATGAACCACTATCAACTTATTTCTGGAAATAAACAAATTAAAACTAGACAAATTAAAAGACAATATACAGAAGGCAGGTGTAAAGCCCCAAAAGCAGCAATTGGCGTTAAGATCGAGCCCGATTAAAGAGAATTCCCTTTGCCAAAAATGAAACGACACACGACGCGCCGCCTGGCGCCATTAACTTAATCGAACAGAAAACCAAACAAAAGCCGCAATTAACATGAAGCCCTTCGTCAGTCGGGTTTTTCGCATTGGCTTTTTGGGAACTGTTTAGGGTTCCTGGACTCGGGTTCCACAGCTATGCCCCAGAAAACCTGCTCAACCCATGGGAATGTGGACCCGAACTCCCGGGCGAGTGCGTGTGTGTTTGCTAATTTGAAATTCTGTGGCGTAAGCACAGGAACCAACGAGTCTCCACCATCATCCCCGTTCACCAGGCGAACTACATTAAATTTTAGAAAACACAAAATGCCGCTTTCCGTGCTCCCTGGCAAACAATTTCACATAAATTTACGTTGAATTACAACCAACATTGTGTACAAATGCATCGGGGGAGTGGCTGCGGAGAGAAGTGGGGGCCATGGCCAAAGTTGTGACTCGGTCTTGTATTCTGCCATCTTTTTGGCAAGCCAGAAAATGTATTCCAGACACGCATCGGGCCATTTTGCAAACGTGCCACCGAATGAGGCTCAACTCCGGTCCCCGTGTCCCCATGTCCCCCTGGAACTAAGCAAACTCAAACAGAAACACACAACCGCAACGACATCCACCCACCCACTCAAAGGACCCTGAAACTTTCCGGCAGACTTTGCTTTTATTTTCCCGGCCCGTTTTGCCCATCCTGAAATCACGAACGGAAAGAAGGACAAACTTTTGGCTCTTTTTTTTGCGAAAATAAGTAAAGTTTGAATTTGGCAGAAACAAATTACTTTCGGGGGATCCATTCGCTAACATGACTCCCAAGAACCTAGCTTAAAACAGGACAGTTCAACCAAAAATATGGCCCAAAAAATTGGAACATTAAAAAAAATTTGGATCTCCACATTTTTGTGTGCATCTATAAAATTGGCAGTTTTTAAAAATTACCTAATTTAAATAGAATGAAAAGTAAGCGAAGCCTAAAGGACAACTTTTCAGTTGTGGACCGAAGACATTAAGTGACCTTAATAAATCATTTATTTTTAAGCCATTACATATAATGTTTAATTAAACAAATTTTAAACACAGAACAAAGTTTAAAAGATATATTTTTCTTAAAAAGCGGCAGATCTGACAGTACTACAAATTTGTTAGCACCAAGCCAATAGAGAAAAAAGCAATGCCTCCCTAAGGGCACGAACATAGTTTATCATATTTTTTCCTTCCTCGCTTTTTTTTGTACATTTTATAATCGCGGTCGTTGCAAAATATATGAAATAAATAAATAATAAAATACACTGGCTGTGGGAGTGGCAACAGCAAGTGGGTGTGGCCCAGAAATGACATTTGCTTGCCTCCCAAAAGTTTTCCTCTTATTGCAGCTGTCGGACTCGAGATACTTTACGTTGGTAACTTATGGATACGATGGAGCAAAAGAAGCAGAAGGAGCAGAAAGGTGAGCAAATTGCCAAACGGGGGATGAGGATGAGGATGCTGCCCACCTTGGGAAGCTGGCGTGTAATTTGTATCTAATCTTGCCTCATGTTTATATAAAAGCAGCGACGGCAGGGGAAACTACTTGCTCCATACAATTTCTGCAATATGGCGATGGCTCTGCCAGGAGGGTGAGCTCCTCCACCTCTGGTCCTGGTCCAAGTTGGAAGTGAGTCCTGGGCCGGAGTCTAAGTGGAACTACATACATATATTCATGGGCAACTGGGGCTGTGGATGCCACAAGGAGCCAACCAAAGGGCGGGTGGGTTTTTGGAATTTTAATAAAATTGCTGCATTGCCAACTAAAGATAGATACTTTTCGTGTAATTTACGATGATGG